AGAGAGGCTCACTCTTCTTTCAGGAACAGGATACTTAACACTTCCAGCACTGCTTTTTCTCTTCTTTTCTCTTTTCTTTTTCTTTTCTTTCCTTAGAGAGATTTTTGCTATAGGGGGCATGTGCTCACCAGAGAGACAGAGAGACAAAAAGCAAGAAATCCCCCCCCTGGGGGGGGAGGGGAATGGCCACGCTGCAATCCCTTCTCCCTCTTAGGATTTTGAGCATTCATGTACATGTGCCTGATGTGAGTTTTAAGCTGCCAGGTCCAGGAATTGAACTGCAGTCGACTATGTGGGAGTTCAGCGATGTAACCAGTACACCATCTGCTGGTCCCCCAGCAGTGCCTTTTCAATGGTGGTTTTCTTAGAAGGCCCTGAGATTCTCTGTAACCTCTTCTCCACTCAAACCTTAGAGGAAAATTCTTAGAGAGCCCTGTGTGACTCTCATACGGCCTTTTAAAGGTGATTTACTTGAGGACCCTTAATCTAGAACAAGAACTACTTTGGAAAAGTCAGGAGCTAAGGTGAACTTGACCTAGAGCTTTTTGAATTCTTTTGTTCTTTTGAACAATCAAAAAGAAAACATAAAAGTATGTTCTTTTCCAAATAGCATGCACCAGGCTCTCAATGGAAGCAGGCAGCATCTGCTACTGACCTTCCTCCTCCTTCAGACCTCTCCACTGTACCCCAGCCCTGCCACCAGCTAGGACCCACACCCATGATGCCTGCCTTTACCTGCCTACCAAAGGAAGGACAATCCTTAAGTACCATATAGTCTCAGTTCCACTTACCAGGCTGAGACGCTGGGCCTGATGCGGGCAAAAGCAGAAGGCAAAGAGCGTTGGACTCCGAAAAAAGTCAACCTTATTTCAAACCACTGTAAGCCATGTTTGCAAGTGCTAAGATGCCTCCTAATTACAGGGGGTAGACAGGGAAGCAAAGAGAAGACAAGGATGGGGAGGGGAAAAATGCAACAGGGAAAAGGAATAAAGCCAGGAATACATGCAGATTAGATGAGCCCTGAGTCCCAGGCTCTTAGGTCAGAGCCCAGTTTACTTCAGGGAAGAACTCTTGTGTCTGTCTGCTAGCCAGAATACTCATTTGTTCAGGAAACCTGCTCTGAGGTCTCTGTGTTTCCTCTTCCCACCCTTTTCAATCAGTTCCTTTCACATATCTTCCCTTCCCTCCAATCTTACCCTTGAACAAAAAGCATGTCATTGAGAACCTAAAATAAGTAAATAAATAAATACCCCTCTCTTCTCAAAGAAGTCAACCATGGACCTTCTTCTTACTCATTTTTTAGATCACAGTCGCTCAAATTGGCTTGAGTTTCTATTCCTGGGCATTTTTTCTTCTTTATGAATCCAAGCGGTAGCTACTCCATTGTAGGCATTTTTTAATGCAAGTTTTCCCCCAAAGGCACATGCAGGCAGACAGGCAGGCAGGCACGTGTGCGCGCACGCACACACACACACACACACACACACACACTCACACGGTACCTCTGGAGCTTTTCCTCCTTTGGTCATTTCCCCTCAGCCAGCCAAAAAAGGACAAGGTTTGGAAAAAATTTCTCTGTGGCCTACCTTCTGATCCCGTCAGGTCTGAGAAGCAGGCGGTGGCTGGAAGCTGGGAGGCCGGGGCTGGTCTGCCTCTGTGAATCAGCAAAGAAGTCCCTGAGACAGGGATGCCGACAGCTGCTGTATGCACACTCTCCCTCTGTCTCTCCCACCTCCCTGCCCTCCTTCTCCTCCTCCTCCCTTCTCGGAGCTGCTCTGTGTTGCTATGCAATCATATCACCAGGACTAACAGCATCACTCCGACCTCAGGCAAAGATACCCTTGACTGGGCAAATGCAGAAAGAGCAAGGACAGTTCTGTAAAACTACCAGAGCCGTGGTGGTTCTTGGAGATTTCAATTCATTAGAAGCAGAGGAGGAAAGCGGAAGAGCCTGAGAGGCAGAGGGAGAGGGGGAGAGGGGGAGAGGCTTCCACTGGGGAGGAGGAGACAAAAGAGCCCTGGAGATCAATACAAGCTGCTGAGCTGAGCGAGGAGCCTGGGCCCCAACTTACAGGGATCTAGCCCAGAGCCAAAACCAACTTCAGAGCCAGCAGCTGGCAGGGGCCCCTTGGTTGCCAGTCCAGGATTCAGTTTTTGTGTTGGGGGTTGAAACACTCTGCTCTAGAATCATCATCAGTACTCAAGGTAGTCTTGGGCCCAGGGCAGTCTGCTAGTTACCCCTAAATCTTGTTTTTAACCCCTCTTAGATCTTATGTGTAAGAAAAAAAAGGCCTCAACAAGTGGGGGAAAAAACATGCACCTTGAATGATTTGAGAAAATATAGCTTCTTCATGTCTCCCTTCAGTGACTATCCCAGTCATCCTCCCTGCTTTTTTCCACACCAGCCCTTACTCTTTGACTGTCATCCTGTTAAAGAGAAGAGAGTATGAACTCCACACACCTCTAAATACCTGGCAGAAGCCACTAGCAGGATGGAGGAGATTATATCTCTTTCTGGAGTGCCCTGCACACAGTAGTGCCCAGCACACACGAGGTTACTTAATAAATATACATTGAATGAGTAAATCAGATGAATGGATGGATGGAAGGAAAGCTGTCAGAAAGCTCCTGTCCCCATTGTTTTACACAAACATACTGAGACTTTAAGTCCCAGCTACTCCAGCTCAGGTCAAAGGATAAGAGAATTCTTCTTTCCTCTTCCTATTTCTGAGAAGAAGGGGTATATGAGAGAGAGAAAGAGACTGGTTTGAGGACAGATTGCTTAACTTCATTGATTTGCCCCTAAAACCTCTATATACTCTGATAGTACTGAAAGTTCAAACAGAAACTACTTCTTGGACCATAGGGTTTGAGATTAGTATTTATAAAGTATCCAAAGGACTAAGAATTATTATCATGATTGTTATTATTTTTAGAGTTATGTTTTTCTTAATTTTGTGTGATATTTTTTGTGAAGAAAGTATTTATTATTTATTTTAAATTGATAAATAAATACTATTTGCATATATTTATGGAGTAAAATCTGATGTGGGATTTGTTTTTTTTTTATTTTTTTTAGAGATTTTTGCTGGAAGGTGAATGGGTTTGCTGGAGAGACAGAGAGAGACAGAAAGTGAGAAATCAATTCCCATGGAGAATGGTCAAGAAACAATCTCTTCTCATCTACCCTCCTCTTGGCATTTTAGGTATGCATGCACACATGCCCGGTATAAGTAGATTCTTTCTTTCTTTTCTTTCTTTCTTTCTTCTTTCTTTCTTTCTTCTTTCCTTCCTTCTTTCCTTCTTTCCTTCCTTCCTTCCCTCCTTCCTCTCTCTCTCTCTCTCTCTCTTTCTTTCTTAAGAGTTCAGCTTTTTATGGAACACATTACAAAAGAGATTGAGTCAAAAGACCAAAGCCCATGTCATAATCCAATTCTTTTTTTTTTTTTTTTTTTTGTGGTGGT